ACCCGTCCCTTTGCCTTTTTAAACCTCATCCTGTTGGAATCATCCCATCCCACTGCCCCTTTTCTGCCCCTTTTCTTTATCAGATGCACACAAGGTGCCATGGTGGGCAGATGATGAGGGTCCTCGGGCAGGGCAGCCCCTGAGAGCAGGGCTGGCACCATGGCATGAGGGCTGTCTCTCTGCCCAGAGGTCTGCCTTGGCAACGTGGGCCAGGACAAGGGAAACCTGCCCCAGAAGAAGATCCCAAAAGGCTGGTAGTGACAGCCAGGGAGACAACAGTGACGTGGTCCAAGCATGATAGAGCAAGCCCAGCCCTGGGGATGGCTGGGAGCTGGGAAGCTCTGGCTGACGCTGCTTAGGGAGTCCCTGCCCTGCCCACGTACAGCTAGGACAAGCAGCACTTTGTTTGCATCTCGATGGGCCTGTTGGGGTGCCTGCTGGAGCCAGTACCCCTGGGTTTGGTAGCTACCAAGCCCACTCCCCTAGCTCAGCCTGCAACTGGGGGCTTCACCAAGCACCCTGTTAATATTCCCTGGGGTGTGCAAGGGGACAAGAGTGTCAGCAGGCTGGAGCAGGAAGACATCTGGCCCTTCACATCATCCTTTCCCCTGCCCTGTGTCCCTGCAGGAGTACCTGGATGTGCTGGGCAGACCCATGGTTCTGGCTGGGAACCGAGCTAAGCAGGTTCAGTGGACCAACGTCTACCAGGATGCCCTGGTAAGGACCCCCAGCCCTGGGGTGCAGGGAGGGACACCCAGCCCCAGGGTCCTGCACAGCCCCAGGGTGCAGGTGTGGACCCTCACTCCTGGGTACTGCACAGCCCCGTGGTGTGTGTTGGTGGGAACACCAGCCCCAGGGTCCTGCAGAGCCCCACGGTGCTGGTAGAGACACCGACCCTGAGGTTCCACACAGGACATAGCCCCATCTCCCTTGTCAGGGGGGTAGCCCCCTCTCTGCTGCCCACCCCCAGCCCTGGGTCCTGAGGCTGGTGAGAGACTATGGGACACCCTTCTGTGCTTGTGCAGGGACTGGGCCTGGTGGTGACAGGCACGCTGCCAGTGTTCAACTTGACAGAGGACAGCAGTGACAGGAAGGGAGGAGACTGTGGCTGCCACCAACCTGGCTACACCAGGACCCCTGGTGTAGGGCCGGGGTGGGGTGGAGAGGATGCCCCAACGCTGGGTGCATGGCTGCGGAGGGGCACTGGCACCCCTGGGGTGCTGCCTGCTCTGTACCCCTTCCCTAGGGTGAAACCAGGGGTGACTCCCATCCCCAGGACCCAAAGTGGCCATGGCTAACAATCATGGTTCAATGGGGACAGCTGTAAGCTACAAGTCCCCGTGGGGTGATGGAGGGCTGCTGCACATCCCACCCTGTGCCCCTGCAGTAACCAAATCTGACCCACGCAACCCCAGAGGGATAAGAAGTCCATCCTCCTATTTCCCTGTCCCCATGCTGGTGGTGGCAGGTGACAGACCTGTTCCCACCTGCCTCCCTCCCTGCACTTCCTTCCAGAACCAGCTCATCCTGGGTGTGATGGGGATCGACGTGGCTCTCAACGACATCAAGAGACTGACACCACGATACAACGTGCGTGGGGGCCCCTTTCCCTCCGTCCATGCCCTGCACTGCCCAAGTCTGGTGTGGAATCCCACTGTGGGGAGCCCTCAGCTGTGCCCTCAGCACCCCCATAGCAGCATTGGCACAGCTGTCGGTAGCAGGGTCCAGGAGCCATGAGTGTAGGCAGGGATCAAGACAGACAGGCAAGCAGGAATCATAGCTGGGTGATGCTCTGGGACTCAGAGAGATCTGAAACCCTTAACAGGGTCAGCAGGGAATAAATCTTTCCGGCCCGGTGAAAGGGCCAGTGGAGAGAAATCCAGAGCCAAAATCTCACTCCAGACATAAGACATTCTGTTGGCCTGAGAATAGAAATAGATGGGTAGAACAGGCTGAGCCCTGGGGGTGATGTGGGGTGAGCTCTGCCTGCAGAGATGAGGGGATGGCATGCTGCAGTGCCACCTGGCCAACCTCATTCCTCTTCCTGTCCTCTTGCAGCTGGGGGCAAATGGTTACGTCTTCGCCATCGACCTCAACGGCTATGTCCTGCTGCACCCCAACCTGCAGCCTCAGGTGAGGAGGGGCCCATCAGGGCGGCACCCGTGGGGATTAGCTGGGCTCTGTGGGACACATGGCTTCCCAGGGTCCTTAGGAGCTAATTGTGGGATTTGTGATGAGTTTGGACTCAGCAGTGACTGCAGGCAGGAGCCCTGAGCCCTTCCCTGCCTCTCCCTTTCTGTCTGCAGATCATCAATTTCCGTGAACCAGTGACACTGGACTTCCTGGACGCTGAGCTGGAGGATGAAAACAAGGAGGAGGTGAGCAAACCAGGGGCAGCTTTTGGAGTACAGACTGGCCCTCCTGATCTGCAGTTGCAAAGGGCACTCAGCAGCTTCAATATGCCCTGGGGATTGCCTCATCCTAAGGGCCCCAGGGGGCCCTGTCCAGAGCTGGGTCACTGTCCCCAAGGTGCCAGCATGATGAGCCTCACCAAGGCTGCTCATCCCTGCACCTCACAGGTCCTCAGTGCCGTCCCACTTGGGCAGGTGCCCACCGGTGGGTGCTCAGTGGCCCTCAGTTGCCTCCTTTGTGTCCCCTAGATCCGGAGAAGTATGATTGATGGAAATGATGGGCAGAGGTTCATCAAGACCCTTATCAAATCCGTGGATGAGGTAACACTGCAGGGGAAGACGTCATGGCCGGAATTGCCACTGTGCTGAGCACCAATCCCCAGCGGTGGGGAGTGAGGGACTGTGTCTGGCACCAGGCTCACAGCCAGGGCCCCATGTCATTGTGCCAGGAGGGTCCTGGCACTGCACAGGCCTGATTGGCTTCTTCTGACCCACAGCAATACATCGATGAGGTGTACCGGACCTACACGTGGGCTCCCATCAAAAGCACCAACTACAGGTGAGTGGTGCTGCCAGCACACACTGCCACACTGCCCTGCACCGACTGGACCCACACCAGCACAGAGCTGTGAGCTTGTGCCTGAAGCTCCTATAGTTGCCAAGACCAGGGACACATCCCATGGTCTACAGGGTTGCAAATGCACAGTCACATCTTTGCACACAGCCAGTGATCTGTTGGAGGGCACTCCTGAAAGTACTGCCTGCCAGCGTGCAGTACTGAAGAGCTGGGACATAGTCCCCAAGGCTGCAGGCTGGTGTGCAAGGGGCTGAACAAGGAACACCCCTACTACCACCCTTGTGCACAGCCAGGGGCTGTAGGGTGGATGACAGTGACACATGACCACCCTGCAGCACAGGCAGTGGCTTCAGAGGCAGAGGAGAGCAAAGCTCTGCATTTATCACCAGTTATTAACACCAGTTTGGACCAGAAGATGTGTAAGAAAAACCACGGCATCGTCATTCCTGTGCTGTGCGACTAATGCTGCCTTCATCCATGAGGAGCCATGTGGTCCCCCTGTTGCCCACTGTACCCTCCTCTTCCTCCTCAACACCCAGCTCAGTAGGGACTGGCAAGGGTCACAGCCACCTCCCAGCACTGTCAGATATCCCCTGTGCAGCCCCAGTCCTGTCCTGCGTGGTGTCATCCCTCTGGAGCCAAGCAGCACAATTCAGGAGGGGACAATGATGTGGGATGACACAGCTGTGGCCAGGGCTGCGGGTTCACTCATAAGGTGAAAGGTGCTGCCAAGGACCCTGTGCTCCCATGGCTCTGATCTGCAGCAAGGATGTTCCCTGGGTGTCCCTGGGACACCATCAACACAGGGTGCCACCAACACTGAACAGGAAAAAGTCACCACCCTCCTCCTGACACCTGTGGTGCTGCCACCTCTGCCGTGTTTGCTGTGGCGCTCAGACCATGCTGCCCAGTGCAGACAGGACTAGCTGGAGGAGTGGCTTGGGAGGCAAGTCCAGGTCCCAGTGGCTCTGGGGCAGGTGTGACATCTGAGGAGAGTCGGGAATGTGGACCTCACCCATCGATGCTCGCTTATGCCTGGCAGCACTTGGCACAAACACTGTCACCAAAGGCCAATGGCCACTGCAACTGGCACCAGGGAGCCCAGCT